TTCAAGTTAATACTTACACAACATTTATGTATTTGTTTTTTCCAAAAATCGAGATAAAGAATTATTAATATGAGGTATAAACATAGAAACTATTTGATAGTATTAATATGAAAATTTTTGTTACATAGCGAATATGACATTGCAACAACCACCACCTGGCGTTGTACTAGGACCGGATCGTTCAATTATGCCGGTAGTCTCTGTAGGCGGAGTTGGAGTTGGGGTTGGGATCGCTGCTACATCACAAATGAATCCAATGCCACAAACTGCGATGTCGACTATGCAACAACTTCCTTTACCGGTATTACTTACTATGCCTATTCGGAAATTACAGGTCTTGTGAACATTTATGTTGCATAACTATAATAATAAAATTTATTATATTTTTTCTCTATATCATGCAGAATTAAGAATGGTAATGAATACTCTTTTTTTTTAGACTCTTAATCCAACGATTATTGGCAATCAAATAATAAGCGGTGCGTCGCAGGTTCAAGCGGTGCCAATCGTGAATGCAACGCAGGATCAATCAACGCACGATAACACCAACTCGGCGATAATGATCACGTCGCCGGATCGTAATTCGCAGGCTGAGTGCTCCCTGATATTGCCGTCTACTACGAATTCCCCGTTAATAACTGATGATAGCGTAAAGTTAGCTGCAAAGAAAGAAGACGTACCTGTCCCTACGGAAGATATCACAGCACCACTTCAGTCAGAAATAACGGGTATTGATTTCATTTTATTAATAAATTTATTGGGTACAATTGCAGAATGAAGATATAAATGATTTTGTGCTCGTTTATATACAGATGGAGATCAATGTAAAACGGCAGTAAAGGATGACGAAACAATTGCTCCAAAAGTGGATGAGAAACAGTGCAATAACCCGTTAGCAGGGCTTGCCAATACAGTGAACGCTATTACGAATGGTGTTGTGGTCAGTGATGACTCACAAATTATACCTATCTCCGCAACAGTCATAATGAATAATAATAAACAAGCGCCGCCTAAAGCCATGGTGAAACCGCAGGTTCTTACACATGTGATAGAAGGATTTGTGATACAGGAAGGTATAATCGCTTCTCTTTTATACATATTTATCAATTATATGTATTAATTGTCACATTAAATATTACTTTCACGAATAATATTAAACATCAACATTTTTCTTATCTATATTATAGCATCAGAACCATTCGCAGTGAGTCAAGAAACTACTAATATCCTTAATCGGAATAACACGATCACAGAAAAAGAGATACACGAAGAGCCTCCAAGTAAGTAAATTATTCTCACAAGTGATTAATGCAGTGTTTTAAGTTCAAGCTAATATAAAATCTTGACTACAGAAAAGAAACTTTGTTCTACTTATTCGAACGAAGAGGATGTAACCAGTGATCAAGATAGTAAATGCGAAAGCTGCGGTAATACGATCGACGAACAGAGTGTTAGGTTAAAGAAAGAAAAGCGATTCTGCTCATCAATATGTGCAAAGAGGTGAGAGCATATTTTATAATAGTAAACATGGTATGGCGAATTATTTCTAAATATTTTCTTTTGTAAATTCTGTTTAATAAAAAATGTATTGTCTTATTTACAGTAAAAAACGTGAAGTGCGAGAGCGCGATGTTATGGAGAAACAATGGATTGAAATAGATACTGAAACTAAAACCGTCGAGAATGACATGACAAAGAAAAACGGCGAGGATAGGTCTTTATCTGCGACTACTACATCCTCTATTGATGAATCATTGCCGAAAGTGAATCCGATTAAATGGACGGTAATGAAATATTTTTATAAGATTTTTCATTTAAAAAATATTGGAATATCTTCAATACGAGCGAAATTGTAAAAAATTACGCGTATTTCATGCAGGTAGGTGAAGTATGCGAGTTCATACGCGGTCTACCAGGATGTGCTGATTATGCAGAGGACTTTGCTATCCAGGAAATTGATGGTCAAGCTCTTATGCTACTGAAAGAAGATCATCTTATGTCAGCGATGAGTATCAAGTTAGGTCCGGCATTAAAAATTGTTGCCAAAATCGATTCAATGCGCGTAGAATCGAACTTAAATCCTTCGTCGAATAATTCATAACCATTCTGTGTATCAGCAACAGATTTCTACAATGTGTTTCCAGAACGTTTCTAGCCTATGAACAGGGCTTGTGCAAGTATTTGATTGAATGTAAATGTATAGGATTAAATATCTTAATTGCGTGAAGTATCTGAATGGATGAACGATTTCCATATTGTTATATTTTATCAAATTTGACTGTTTTCGACGGCAAATCTTCTTTCTGGCTTACGTTTTATAATTTTAGTTATACAATTTACTTCAGTTTTTGTAAGTGAATTATAGAAGAGATGAAGCAATATCTATTTTCTATTATTTTTAATGTATGAACGAAAGTAAAAGAAACAGTTTGTGTAAACTATTTGTATTTTATTTTAGGATGAAAAATGAGGATACACTTGTATACTATACGTATGGAGGATACTCGTGAATATATAACGATAGATCTTTAAAAAAAAAAACTCTGTGTAACATAAAGTCAGTTTTTAAAATTTCTTTAAAATGTGCATTATTCAAAAGTATCGTCTATACGTATTATTTATAATTTAATTTTTAATATATTTAATCAGTTTGATAATCTAAATGAATTTAAAAATATTGTCGTATCCTTTTTCCCTTTAAGATTATATTATCAAATATACGTTTATTTTACGCACAAAAACCTAATTTAGATGGAAACATAATTGTACTCTCGAGATAATACATTAAATGCATGGAAATTGTTCAGTTATAGCGTATTTCAGGGTTGACACTGATCAATGTTCAAAGATATACATTGATACGTATATATATATAATATCATACAATGATCATAGCAATATCATATGATTATTGAATGATTTTAAGAATCCTAACGATCTATAGGATGTTTAAAAAGATTTCATTTGATATACACATAATGTCTATATGAATGTTTTCTCAAAGTGCACTATTTTGTAAAGCTGGAAATGTCAAAGAATAGAGTACAAATTGTGTCCATTATGCAAGAACATATAATGTATATATAAAATAGTGCAGTACACTGTATTTTGTACTCAAGAGTAAATACTACCGGTACAAAATGCATTGCCTTCTATGCAACTTGCAGAGAATAACTTTTTTAGTTACTATTTCATTAAGAATCTTTCGTTACACTAGAATGATGATTTTTGATCGTTTTTACGTTGACATTAGAAAAAAAAGAAACTGCCTGCTTATCATTTCATTATGTGTTTTTTTTTTTTATATATAAGACGTATACTCATTCAATACAAATGTAAATAGTAGATGTAAGACATTGTAAGACATTTATTTATTGTACAAATTTTACGATGAGATTTTAATTGCTGAGAATTATCCCTCTATTATCACGAGTTCTTTGTCTAGTAAAAAAAAAGGATTATCCTATCGTATAAGAAAAATTCTGAGAATTATTTGTTATTAATAGTACATTATGACGTAATAAGAAATTGTCACTATTTTTAGTGTTGGACATCTTTTTAATAAAATAAAAATGGACGATATATAATTTTTAATACATCAACATATTGGCATGTTCTTGAAGAAATGTAAATATATTATACGAATTTATACAACAGTCAATTTTAAGATTAACTAAGGCAAAGATTGTCGCTTTTATATATTTCTTACTGTAATATGAATTTTATACGTATTTCGATCATGCAAAAATCAGTTGCGAAATGTGTTCCAAATTTAATAGGATTCATTGCGTTTAAAATAATGATTTCCAATGCGTTTTGTGCAAATATTAAATGTAGTAGTAGATGTTTTTTTGTATGTTGTGAGAGAATCTTAGTAGAGGAAATAATATTAAGCTCCTCTCTCAAAAAAAAAAACATGTATCATACACTACTAAATTTATTACAAAAACTATTTATGCTTATTGATAAAAAGTAGTCTCCATGGAAATAAAAATATTGGGTGTACCTCGTAAAAGTTTGTTCCAAGTTCGATTGCACCGAACAATGCTTGTCAATTCTATATTAAAAAATATTTACATGCCTTTCTATAAGATTCTTACAGTATTCTTACATTAAAAAAAAGCTTATAGTTTAAGCACATGACAAAAATTTAATTATAATTAGTGCTAATTGAGATTGGTGTCAGAATTGTGGTTGACGTATATAGGTTTCATGAATATACTGAAATTTTAGCTATAAATTCAAGGTTCAAAATTCAACACCGTTTTCGGCGAAGTTTTCTCAGGGCTAAATGTTTCACAATATACTTTTTATATAATGAAGAGACAACTTTGCAATAATATAATATTAAATTATTTTATATTGAGGAAGCAGGGTTTGAGATAACTGCAATTAAAACTTCTCAAATAAAGAAAATATAATAAATTACGAGTCAATTAATCTTATAATATAGAATATTCCTACATAGTATCATTTAAATTGTGTTGTGATATATATTTTCTCAAATGACTTATATTTCTATTTTTTTCTACAATCTGTAGTTTGTTGTAATTTATCATCTAATATGATTTAAGACTTGACTTCTCGTTGGTACAGATTTTAATAATAATGGTACATTTTTCAACTGTTAAAAACCAATGCGCCACTATTATTTTAGAAATTATTTTACATATTTTATAGATTTCGAGATTACGAAATTGTTATATTTTTAAGGGAAAACTAAAAAATAAAGCTGTACATAACAATTAGTTCCTTGCTTCTGACATCATATAATCAATCTGGTACCTCGAAAAAGCCGAGTCTTAAAAAAATATAGATTGAAGACTTATAATTCAAAATATGACATAAGATACATGGTCATTGCAAAATTAATAATAAATAAAATATTTAAAATTATATCTGTTACACAAAATAAAACTATAAAGTTTATTTACAACAAGCATAATTTTAATGTGTGTGTATATATATATATATATATATATATAATATGAACATGAGACTTATGTACATAAGTTTATTTACAGTTTCTTAAATGTACAGACTATATATTCATTCTTGAAAATACATTGCTCGGCATTGTATCATTCACTGTATTTATTTCTTTCTTCTATATGTAAAAAGAATTGTTTACATTACATCTCGACTGTGTGACAGCATGTGCTGTCCTATGACAAATTTTCCGATGTATCTTCTATGTTCTTGCCCTCGAATAGGAGCTCATCCTCAACCAGTTTACTTTGTACTTGTTGCAAGGGTCGAACGTATCGAAAGAATTCGTACACCTTATAACAGATAAAGAGGGTGCCAATCGCTGTGACACCCATACAGACACTCACAGCACTTTTATGTATCCTATCGAATAACCTCTCCTTCCTTCTTTTCTTGTAGAATTCCGGATCCATTACCGGCGAATCTTATTCGGTTGCTCGTTAACAAACGAGGTGGTCCTCGCTCACGCTGAAAATAACATTACGTAAATATCACGATGTCGCGGCACATTTTGGAATACAGATAACCTCGAAACAAAAAATACGTTGGAATCACACGTAAATTCATATTTTTGATAATTTTGTAAGGACCGCTCACCTAAAAAGTGTTTATTTCAATTCGTTGAGAATTACTTATGTACAGATTGAATTTCTAATCAAGTTTTTTACCGAATACTCGGCGAATCAAAACTGCTTAGAAACAGGGTAATAGAGTATCATGCCGGCATCATACCGCATGATATCCTGAGCGATTAAGTATCATGGTTCTCCACTGCATGGCGCTACAATCTACGAAATTAATTTTGATGTGATTATAGTGTTTTGTACATAAAATAGTAACCGAAAATTAATACTGATTTGTATTCGAAATTTCGACATTACGATCTGCCAATACATTATCGTGAAAGAATATTATTGATAAATACATACCTGTTATTGCAAGTAAGTGTTGTGAATGAAAATATAAAGTGAAGCATCACACAAAAGGAAAATACATTTAAGCAATACTTAAAATAAAATTTATAATTTGTTTTAATTTATAAAAATCTTAAGTGATATTTATTATCTCAAAGGATATTAATATATTTTGATTTTAGTTTTGTTTTTCCATTAGAAACGAACTGCTATTTTTAAGTGTATCAGAGAAAAAAAATGCAATAGTTATCATGTTTATTGATAAGAGGAAAGAGCAAAGTTTAAAAAAATTTAAAAAATATAATATTTTAGCAGATGCTTTTATATTAACATTTGTTTGTAAGAAATTTATCGCAGCATGAAAGAAAAATGAATCTATATTATGAATTGTATGAATTTTATTAAGCATATTTCATTAGATGTAAATGTAAAGTTTCTAAAATAGTCCATAATTAATATATGTCAATTTATTTTGTTTAGTTGTGATACAATTAAGGAAATTTAACAAAATAACATTTTTTTCTTACATCTATTTACATATGAGAGAATTGTTGCGGGGTAAAATTTGAATTCCCTTCAATTCAAATAGTAAATAATATATAATACAATTCACAAAATATACTTGCATTTGCGGACTGTACAAAATTTCGCGAAATTTAAAAGTCAGTTTAGGCATCTGAAAAATTGGAAGCATTCATATGAGAAACTTTTCACTAATTTTTTACACTCTTTATATTAAAAAGTTTAAATTGTCTGAGTCACAGCCCTAATATCTAATTGTAAGAAATGCAGTTAAAAATCATTCTTCGTCGCATATGCTATATGCTATATCTTCAAATAAAAAAATTTAGCAGCAACACTTATTTGAATTCTCTGCTACTTAATTCTCTAAAAATTCATCAAATATCTTTGAATCAATGTCTAATACTATCTCGTCCAAGGATGGGCCTTTCGCGGAGACTGGTAACTCTAAATTTGAAACAGATAAATTAGTCATGTATATACATGGTGAGATAGTTGAGAGTTGCTGAAGCTGAATTGTTATTTTGTAATGACTGAACAAAATAAAATCAATTCAAGATTATTATAGAAGAAATCTATTATTTTATTAATATATAATATAAAAGGAAAATATATTTTTTTAACTTATGATAATAAAATTATGATAAGCAAAAATAAATTTAGCTCAGTGTATTTTTGAAATGTAAATTTGAATATTGTGAATATTATACACTGTAAATATTGTATGCATATTATACCAGTTGATGCAAATTCTCATATTCTTGTTAGATATGCTATAGTATCAATTGGAAAGTTGCGAAGAACTATTATTTTGTAAAGAATGTACTATGCAGAAAAAAATGACAATCATATCTAAACAAAAAAGGAGGATGTTATAGGATGGTATAGGAAAGTTTCTGCCTTAGAGATGAAACCTCTGAAACCTATAAATTCACTTAGAGTATGATGAAATCTATTGCTCAATACCGAATTTTTTTATCGGCAGAAAAAGTTGAAAAAAAATCTTATTTGAAGTTTTACCAAAGTGATGACACGGAGACGAGAGAGGCAAAGAGTCCCAGCAAACGAAAATAAATTGAAATAAATTAAAGTGGATTCAGATTTTCAGAAATACGAATTTATGAATGTTAAAATGAATCCTTTTCAATCCTGAATGAATTTTTATTTATTTATAGGAATTGCTTGAAACAAATATTTATTCTTTTTCAATCTTGAATGCATTTTTATTCATTTTTATTCATAGGAATGGCATGGAGTATATTTCTATCCTTTTTAATCTAAAAATAATATTATAGTATTTTGGTGTGTGTGTGTGTGTGTGTGTGTGTGTATGTGTAGTAAATGCATCTGCTTAATTTAAAATTCTGAATAGGAAATGTAGTTTTTCAATCCAGTTGAATCTAAAAATAATATCAGCCATTTCTGTGCATTGTGAATACTGCTAAATTCTGAATAGGAAATGCAGTTTTTTAAGTCAATTGAATAAAAAAAAGTTATTCTTTTAATGGCTCATTTTCTTAAAATGAGTCATGAATACTATTCAAAATTGTAAATAGAAAATCTATTGTTTCATTTAAAAATGCATGAATGCTATTTTATTCAGAATTATGAATAAGAAATTTTTTGTTTTAATTTAATTAATAAAAAAAAAGTTGTACCATAAAAATATATCATGAATTCTATTTAATAGAAATTTAAAAGAAACATTTAGGAGAAACATAAAGAGAATTACGTAAATATGTATAATAAATGTTACATACGTAAATTCCTCATTTTTAATTAATAAATTAATCACTTTGTATATATATTTTATATTAATACGTTTCTTTTATTATACAGCTAGCATATATTTTTTGTATAAAAGTTTTAAAATAATGACTATAGAATTTCATGTAATTACTACTTTAATTTATTTAAACTTTCGCATGTATAAAAATTTTTTTTTTATATGGAATCTAATTCATTTTTATGGATTTAAAGTACGGATTCAGATGGATTAAAAAGTTCCAATCCATTTCAATCCATTTTTGTTTGCTGGGATGAGCGAGGCAGTGAGAGTGAAGGGCCCCAGGTTGCCAGCGGCTTTTCTCCTCCACTCTCACTGTCTCGTTCACTCTCTGTCTCTCTCGCCTCCGCGTTATTTCAGTAAAACAACAACTTCAAACATGATTTTTTTCCTGCCGACAAAAAAGTGGAATTTGATATTGAGCAATAGATTTCATCATATTCTTAAATGAGTTTATAGGTTTCAGAAGTTTTATCTCTAAAGGTCAGTTGTTTCACCTTTTGGTAAATTTTATCTGTTAGATAAATCTGGCAATCTACGCATGTGATTGGGTAATCTTGCTATTTACCTAACAGGTAAAATTTATCAAAAGGTGAAACAACCGACCCTAAGACAGAAACCTCCCTATACAATAGGCATCTTATTTTGCGCCAACTGACAAAATATATCCGTGCAATATTCATATAGTGTATAATAATTCATAATTTATAGATTTACATTTAAATATTCTCGCTTAAATATTTCTACGAACTACCGTCAATTTTATTTTTATGCTCACATTTTCTTTTTTTTTCTTTATGAAAATACATAAAAGTAAAAAACATACTTGGTATGGATCCAGTTGTTTTGTATTCCTCAAGGTCCTCTTTAAAAGCTTCCTCAAACGTCTCTCGTCGTTCCTTCAATTTTTTTTGCTGATTTAATTCATGCTGTGAAAGTCTCTCTGTATGCTCGTTAGCTAGTTTTGCTAAAAAAATTAATTTGAAATATTAGGTGTTGGAATTAATTCGTAGCGTTTTTTAATGAAAGAATGTTATTTATTTCACATGAGCATTAAAAAATACATTAATGAAAGTACTTCCCATCACTTGTAAAACGCTACGAATTAATTCTAACACCTAATAAATCATGAAAAAATGTTGATTGAACGACATACACTTTTTCATCGCACATACTTACTTTTGAAATTATTTAATTCTATCAATTTCTTCTCTTTGTACAAAGCCAATTGGAACCTGTGATCCAACTGTCTACTTTGTAAATCTAACATTTCATTTAAATCTTCCAATCGATACAAAGCTCCTTCAACTTCTTCGAACATTTCTTGTAAGTTTCCTTAGAGATATAATAAATAATAATTTTAGAAAGATTAGATTTCCATTCGAGTTTTAATTTATCATGTTTTATCTCTGAAGAGAAAACCTACCTATTTGGTCCATCAAATCTTGAATCGCATTATTAATCTTTGGAATGTAAGCTAAGGTATTGTTTAAGCATGTAACATTGTTCCACTCGTGTTGAAGTTTTTCATAAATAGAGGATATCAGCACATCTGCTTCCTGAGCCTTTCCCGCGTTTTCCTCAGCGAGCTCATGAAGCTCGTTCCATTGCAGTTGAAAATGATGCAAAACATCTGCCCCAGCATCATAATTTACATTTCTTACATTAGCTGACTTTTTGCTCTTTGGATGCTCGGGAGTCGACAATCCACGTATACTAAAATCACAATTGATGATATGATATTCTAGTACTGAAAAAGTTCTAGTGTTACTCTCTATGTTACTACATTATCTTTTGTAGTTTATTTTTATCACAAGTACATGATTTTTATCAAGCAAAATGCATAATTTATGAATGGTTACCATCAATTTTATTATTATATATTAGTATTATCCATAGTATCTGTATACGATAAGAGATAGTGAAAATATAGAGATATAGAGATATAGAAAATATTTTTACCTAGCAGATATACCTTCTTGCACTGTTTGAAACTTGCTACGTAATGACCCAAACATATTTTACTGACTTGGTGATAAACATTCGCTGTCGATGACTCTTTTAGATCCGGCTATTTATAATAGATAACAAAACACTTGATTTTCTTACATAGACATTAGTATTGGATGAATTTTTTTAAATATTGAATTTAAGAAATTTTCATTTCTATGCAAAGCTGCCTTTGTGCGAATTACAAGCTATTATAATTTTATAAAAATTATAATTTTCTATATACTATATGATTATTTATCTACAAATCACACACACATTCAACAAATCAGTAGTGATATTAATTATATTACAATCAAACAGATCAACTGAACTCATTTGACAATGTAAATACGTCATTATCGTCAATAAAAAAATCTAATTACTTTATACACGTATTATTACACATTTTATAATTACAATATCACAATTGTTAGCCAAAAATAAAAGACAACAGGAAAGTTTTGTTTACTCAATGTGAAAAGATACACGTGCTTAAAACTTTGGCTTGTCAATCGTTATTAATTGACAATCGACGTATGTTGCGAATTCTGTTTACAAAACAATATACTCCGCACACATT